TCGATCTTGCAGAATGGAGAGAGACTAAAATAAAAGCAAAGTCTTTGAGAAGGAGATAGGAGACAGGATCTGGCCCACGTGGGTTCTAGGTGGTGAGGGAGGTACTCTCCAGGACTAGATGGGAACAAGATAGCCTCAAGAATTTCATGATGTGAATAGGAAAGGTAAATGTAAACGTACAGAATAAATACAGACATCTCAAGTCTCCACCACTGCCACCCTTCTTGATTGCAAAATGGATCACACAGATCATTATAGCTTTCGGAGCTCCCAAAAGGACAGGACGGCTGTTCTGAGGTGTGTGATGAAGAAAGGCGGGTTAAACTGGACCTTATGGATAAAGAGTTGGGTCTGATGGAGGAGAGGACAGAGCTGCGTTAAAGATAGGGGTGGGGCAGGGATACTCAAGTTTGATGCACGTTGGGAGGTTCTGTTAGATACTTACTTATAGGATAACCCAGTAAAATGTGTACGACTGTTAAGTAACATTTTGATGCATGCTAAGATGTTCCATAAATAGCTGTTCGTGTTGATCCCAGCAAGAAAAAGCCTCTCCGAACATAAGGTTTTTTCCAATGGCTCTTGAAAATGTGTGAAGAGAAGCTGAAGGAGCCTAAGCCCAGTTTGGGTTCTTCACAGTATTTCCTGCCTAGCCTAGCTCTAGCACCATGACCTTGAACAGTCATTTGCTATCTCTGAATTCAGTTTCTCCATCTTCGCATGGAGCAAATTAGATTGCTCCAAGGACTCAGTGAGTTAATTACCTGTGCCTGGCACATAGTGTGAGCTATCATTATTATTACCAAAAAAAGGACATTTTATTTTTAAAATCTAAAACAGATAAAAAGAAAATATAAAACTCATATGTGATTCCAACCTCCAGTGTTCTCTATGTGTATATTTCACTCTGTATACTCTTTTGTAGATCTTTTAAAATTTAACCTATTTTTGTTAAAAAAAAATTGTTGAACTAAGAAGTTAAGTAATTTGCATGGGATCATGTAACTAGAAAGCAGTGGCAACAGGATTTACACTCATGTTTTTTGAACTTTTTGAATGATGATTGCCTTGACGGTAATTATAGTAACTGAAAAAGAAGGGAGGGAGAAAAGTGAATAATGGGGGCGGGGAGGGGGGGTATTTAGTCTTAAATTTTGAAAGCCGAAACATGGACAAAAGGATGAACTTCATGATGAGATCCTCACTCAGAGATTAAAAAAAATACACATATGTGAATATATATAATTTTTAATGGTTGATATCTACTTTTATGAAGACTTCTTATTTCCTGAAGTTAAAGCTGTATGGTTTATATCTAATTTGTTTTTTCAAAAATCATAGAAGATATCAGATTGGCAAAAATAAAAATAATTAAAAACAATGAGTTCATGAGTATGGGGAAATGGGCATTTTGATATATTGCCATTTTACAGACCTTTCTGGTGAGCTGTTTAAAAATGGAAATAATATATATATCCATTAATACTGGAATAATAAAATCATGGTAAATCCACACAAATGAGTTTGAAGCAACCATTAGAAAATTATAAAAGTACATATTTATTTATTGGCGTATGTATTAAGTGCAGGGAAACAAATAATTGGACAGTGTAATAGCATTATCTTTTAAATATATATTTTATTTTTTACATATACACAGGCATAAACTTTAGGAAGATGTGCTCCAAAGTGTATAAATGGTGATATTCCAAATGATTTTTTCTTTAATTTTCACTATTGTGCATTTTATGAGGATTTTTCCTACAAGGAAGTATTACATTGGGTAAGTTTTAAACATGGAAAGGGAACACTTTGACAATCAAGGCAGGAGACTCATTTTTTGTGACCCGTCCACCTGCATCTTATCCCAAGAGTAGAGGGAAGACCGTCAGCTTATGATTCCATCACTCTGTGTGGGAGGCAATGCAGAAACAGTTAGTATTTAAGCAGGTAACTAGCTGATGCACAGGTGAGTAGTAATTGCAAGGACTGGAACGTGTGCCCCTGTTAGATTGGCGCCTGCATAAAGCAATGAAAGTGATGGTTTGATAAATACAGAGAAAAATGTTAACCTGAGACAGGAGTGGTGTTTCCTGACGGCAGGTGCAGAGCAGATGACTGAAAGGAGGAGACAGGAGAGGAGAGGATTGCCCTGAGGGGAGGGAAGGGAACTTGCTGGCACAGATGGGGAGATCTGATCTGCTACCATCTGCGGGAGCTGCTCTGACACCTGAGACAGAAGGTGACATTGAGGTTTCACAAGGGTTGGACAGGTGTGCAAAAACGCAAATGTCTTCTCAGGGGACACTGACTTTTTTTTATCCTTTTCTCTGAAAATCAGCTGGAAAAAGGTAGCAAAAAACAATTTTAAAAAAGTCTAAATAGAGGTAATCATAGGGGATTTTTAAAAAATGACTTGTTTGGAATGATATGAAAAATAGCACTTCTCTTCCTAACTTCAGGCCAGTCTGAGAGTGTCTGTGGTGCCTCCCATAGGGTGTTGCCAGCCCTCTCCTTAGCACTGCCATGGTTCCTTTAGAACTGATCTCCCTCCGGTTACCATGGTTTTCTGACAATTGAGTCTACTGGTTTTTCCCCTGCTCAGCTCTCACCTCCTCATCGCAGTCAGACTTTCTCCTTGTCTATCACCTGTTTTAGTTTGCTGTTTTGTTTTGCTCTGCTTTTTCCCTTACTCCCTCAGTGCATCCAGCACAGTTAATTTTCCCGGTCACCCCTCTCAATGCCTAGATGTAAAGTCCAAACACTTCAGCCCTGGTATTTTACCCTGTGTCTCTAGACTTGCCTCCCACCACTGCTCCCCTCTTCTCCCCCTCCCACCAAAGCTGCTGCTTTTCTCTAGTTGCACAGTCTACTCCTGGCCCCAAACAAGCTCTGCAATTCCTAAGTTCCATTCATTCATTCCACCAGAAGTTGAAGGCCTGCCATGAACAAGGCATGAAGCTAAGCCCTCGGAGGAATACAGACACACACAGCACATGGAGCTCGTGTGGAATGGGGCAGGTCCATGGACTGCAAGCTCAAAACACACAAGCGCAAATCTTGTTGCCACTGCTTCCTAGTTATGTGGCCTTATGCAAATTACCTAACCTCTGAGTTCCTCAATTTTCTTATCTGTAATTGGATATAAGTGAGCTTCATTATTATAATTAAATGCTATGAGGTGCCTAGCAGACTGCCAGGCAAATAGTAAGTATTGAGAAATTGGTAGTTCCCTTCCTAACACCACTTCAACTCTCAAAGAACGTATAATTTTCTAGCAGATGCGACGTTTTAAGTGGTGTGAGTAATGTAAACAAGAACGCTAGGAGTTCAGAGAAGACAGAGCTCAGAAGAATGACTGGGCTGATCTTAAAAGACAGAATATCAAGAAGTTGGGTAGGCATTTCCTACAAGAATGAGTAATGTCACTAAAGGTACAGTCATGGGAAAAGACCAGGAATGGAAAGCCCTTCCAGGTTTGGATCTTCATTTATTTAAAGTCTCCATCTTGGTGGAGCTTTCTTCTCTACCCTACTTAATATTGCATCCCACTACTTTCCCATTGCTCCCAACACCCCTACCCTGCTTTATGGTTTTGCATTTCACTCACCACCATACTGTATTTACTTACCTCATCTACCATGTGTGTTCTCAAAAGAATGTAATCTCCACCAAGGTAGGTGTGTGTGTGTATTTTCTTCATTGTTATGTTCCCATTACCTGGTGGGATATACACCAGGGAATATGTTCAACTCTCTGAATTGGGGTTATGGGATGTGAATGTTTAGGAGGTTCTAGAAGATAGGAACATTACGGTGACATAGGTTGAAGACAAATTTGAGAGAGCGAGAAATGGGAAGACCAGATAAGACTCTATTGTGGTAGTCCAGGAACTAGGTGAAGAAAGCTTACACTAGGCGGTAGTTATAGAAATAAATAGGAAGGAACAGCAAACATTCCAGCAGAGTTACCTAAGCACGATGGTTTCAACATCAATAAAAGGCTGGAAAAACATATTATAGTCATGGGAAGGAACACTAGGCAGCCATCCAAGAGTTCAGTAAATGTACCTATTCTAAAATGCATTGATAGGCAAAAAATAACTAATTGCAAAGAATACATATGGTATGATTCGACTTTTGTAAATATATATATGTTGATGCATTAAGTTTATCTGAAAAACACACGTCAGGCTGCTATATGCAGAATGGCATTACGGAAGGTACCAACTGGTCTTTGCTACAATATCACACAATTCTGGGCTCTTTGGTTACTTTTCTATAAGGATTTATTATTTTACATTAAAATATTTTAAAATATTAATTTAAATGACTGAAGTTATATAAAAGAAATATCGAGAATATACTGTTAACAGTTGCAGTAATTTTAAATGTCACCTCAAATCTCTTGTCACAAAATACATAAGCATTAAAATATAAGTACAGTATGCATTTTGACTAAAAATCTGACCCTTAATTCAAAAACAGTAGTGAGACAAGTGAATGTGGGAAAGCATGATCCAAAATCAGAGACCCTTTTATTCAAGAATGAAGCCACTGTTGTGTTTTAGCTTATCCAAGAGTCAGTAAGCATTTCCTAATTAATGAGTGATGAAGACATAAAAAAATCCACACCATTAAATCTCCTGGGAAAAGGTTAAAGTTTAAAACCATGAATGTTTTGCCTACAGACACACTCAAATTTATTTCAGAGTTTTTAAGCCATTTAAAAGTATGGTTGTGATGGCCAAAATGATAAAAATGAAGCTAATAATAAATCTGGCATTCAAAACATGTTGCTTTGAAGAAAGCTTTTCATAGTAGTTCTTTTTTTTAATATGATTTTCTGAAGACACAGTCCAAGTAAAAATGGTCTGAACCATTCTTTATTTCAAAACAAGAGTCTATATGTTGTTGTTTAAAAAAGAAAGAACATTATTCTTTAAGCAATTATAGATACTACTTATATCTTAATTTTATTATTATTTTTAACTCTCTCAGGTGCCAGTTCATCAGATTCTGACAGTGAAAGTTTAGCTTTCATATCACAACCTGGAGCTATGCCACAGTAAGTGCCTACCATTTCATCAGTTATAGAGCAAAGACGGTCAGCAGGATTGTTGGGGTATGAAGCCACCCGTTTTGTGCTTTCAAAGAAAAGGTCAACTGATGCCAATCAAAGATCAAATACTTGAACTGGGAACATAATTTTTAACTTATGAATTGGAACTTTGAAGTCTTCATTTCATCATTAATATCCCAAAATCTAACCATATATAATGTTAGTTTCAAAGACAACTAACCAGTTATAAATTTATGAAAAATCATGTTGAAGGAAAATTTACTAAATCACTACTAAAAATAAATGAGGATCAATGTAATTATATAAACTGGAAAATATCTCATCAGGCCAGCAATGTGTTTCCATTTGGATAAAGTCTATTTCTAGTTAGATCTTGTCATGAAAATCTCAAAATTTTGTTTTTCTTACAAAGACATATGCATTATTAGTAAAACGTTAATATTATTTTTCAAAGATCAAATAAAATCTACCAGAAATTTTGTAGGAAACTCTATAAATATTGAGACTGCGTTAACAAAATCTTTTGACCTGCTAGTATATACATAACAATTGCATGCATTCAGCATCAAATAATTACCAAATATTAATGCTAAAGAGACCTTAATAAGATCATATATGTACTCTACTACCTCTCATTTCATTATTAATAATAAATCTGGATCTCAGTAAATAAAGATACCAAGTTTAGTGACATTACATGACTTGATTTGGATTCCACAGCCAACTGAGTTAACAAAATTGGGCCTAGAAACCAATTCTTAACCTTTGTCTGCACCTCACTAATTTATATGCACTAAGAAAGACAAAAATTTCAAGACACTCTCAACTTAACAAAACATAGAACCAGATCAAAGAACAGCTGCTAGACTTAAAACAGACCACCAAAACATTGAATTAAATATAGAACCCTAATCCTATAGATTTCAAGTATCTTCTTACTGCTAAAGATTAGACTTTCTCTAAGTATTTTCTTTTCTCTCAGGATTTTCAAGTTCAATACTTTAGCCTCACTAATAATGGCTGTGTTACAGCTACTTTCCTTTTATCCATGTGTTTATTTTGCTAATATCTCTAAGGTTCATTCCGTGCATATACTGGCCACACCTATTGTAACTGTTCCCATTTCTGAAGCACTTAAGAGTCGAAGCCAATTAAGTACACAGAAAGAAACTGGGCTATTCTGTGGAAATGTTTTAAAGAATAATTTCTGCTTTAAAAAAAAAATTCTGACTGAACACTTGCCTCCCTGTTTTCCAGAGCTCAAAAGAAAACAACTTCTGTTTCCCTGACAATAGGATCATCATCTCCAAAAACAGGAGTGACCACAGCTGTGATTCAGCCATTGTCTGTCCCCGGTCAACAGGTAAGTATGCCTTGACCAGAGCCCGCAGGAGTGGCACTCATTAGCAGACCTCTTGATTTAAAGAATATAGCTTTGATTTTACTATTCTACACCCTCGAAATAGTTTCGAAGTGGAAATAGAACTTGGAGAAAAGAAAATGGTGGGTAAAGTTCTTCCTTTTAATCCAATAAAAAAATCAAAGCCACACCACCAATTAGTCAACATCTGTAGTTCCATTGGGAACTCCCTAACAGCCAATAATGTGATAAAGTGCGCCCTATTTGATCTACAACTGTTCAATTATTCCCCCATGTATGTGCTATCTTCTATCTAGCCAAATTCATTATTTCATTTAAACAAATGAGAAGACAAGAGATGACATACCAACAGAAGCGTTTTCATCCTCTAAGCACTAAACAGACAAGAAAAAAGATTCAAATTCTTTGACTTCCCCATGTACTTTATCTTGCTTTTATGTCATTGTAAGACTGTTTTATCCAAGAAAGAACAGAAATACTGACTACTAGAAAGAAACTGTAGTGAGTATACTTTGCAAACACAAACAATATGACTTTTTAAAAATATAATATTAAAACTAACTGCCCTTCAGTCAAATATATGTTACTTTGCCTTGGGCTTATGATGAGTATCTTTAAATACAACACTCACAAAAGGCTTTCCCCAACACTTTGAACTGTAAACTCATCCCTTACTTGTAAGTATGTTAAGTATGTTTTGTGGTCATTCCCCTGCTCTCTATCTATTGGACACTCATAGGTATTTTAGTAATTAGAGGTGAGTGACACATCCTCTGTGATATGTATGATATGCAGATAGTAAAGACATTTGAGTTCATAAACTTGAAAAGAAACAATCATTATAAATTACTTGGAGGTGGCATATATAGTAGGTATTTCCTTTAAGCCAGAGTGGAATTCATAGAAATATTTCTGGTTTAATCAGTAGATATTTTTGATGTTTGATATTTAAGTACTGTTGAATGCTTAGCACTGTTTTAGGCCTTTCATGACAGCAGAAAATACATATCACCAGTTTTATTCCCAAACAGTTAATAATCCGCATGGGAAGCAAGAAATATACACATGAAACATTTGAATATGATAGATAAGGTAGAACACAGAAGCCTAAAAGCAGAAAGACACACATGCATCTAAATATGTAAATATCATAGTAATGTAAACAATGCATTTTAAAATGATTTAAATTTTATGGCAACACTGAATGGAAGGCCATGTTTCCCATGTGTATAGTTGAGGGAATGAAGTGCTCAGAGAAACTCCGCTGCTTTATTGTAGGCAAGGTGACATTAAGGTTAACACACTGGATTCATGCTGCCTGGGCTCGAATCCCAGCTCTACCAGTTACTAAGGGACCTTGAACAAGTAACAAAACTCTTCTACACCTGTTTTTTACATTTGTAAAATGAAGATAATAATGCCATCTATTTCAAAATTGTCATGAGGGTTCAGTGAGTAAGTGTTCATATAATTCTTAGAACAATGCCTGGCATGGACTAAATACTCCATATGCTCATATATTCTTTGTTATTCAGGCCTCCTGAATAATAAGCCTATGTAAAGTCTTACAAGGCTAATAAACAAGGCCCATTACCATGCTAGCCTCTCTACCACTCTGCCGACATTCTCGATGATGCCCTCTGGTGTATTTTGACATATAATATCAGATCACCATCATCTTAGGTTAAAAAACTAGTAACTGCTTACAGAGAAGTGAATAAATCCAAAATGTTTGAAAATACATGATTATACACAAAAATATTTTTCATTCACTACTCTGAAATCTTAAACACCTTTGTTTTCTGCACATCAAGAAACAATATGTATATTTTTCTTCATTCCTTATAATCCCTATCTACGTCAAAAAAGGATGCAAGTTAAGATAGGTAGATGTTTGGTAATTTACCCTCCACTGCCTGTAACTTGTGCTTTTTATTCAATGAATCCAGACTATATTAAAAATTAAAATAGTGTCTGTGAGAGCTTTCAAAGAGACCCCTGTGGAAGTCCCACACACAGAAATCCATTTGGTAATAGCATTTAAAAGTTCCTAGATCCCTAAGGAACCAGGGGACTTTACCTTGAACATCCTTTTGAACAGAGAACAGTAACAGATGTGCAGTGAGGAAGCAGACAGTGTCTGTGTTGTAAGAGTAGATCAGCAAAATGATATATGGAGAGACTTTCATTCACTCGTTTCATTCATGTGGAGCGATCTTAATAATGTGAGGCTTCTTTAGCCCATCTTTTCAGCAATTTATATATTTAGAATTTGATCCATGTGCCTCTGCTTTTCCAGGTTCACAGTCCAACCTCGTATCTCTGCAGACCTGATGGAACCACTTCTGCCTACTTTCCTCCTGTTTTTACAAAGGTCTGACATCTGCAAGTCTCATTCTCTGTATTTGCTTTGGTGCTGTAATTCCACTCTCATGTGGCTTCTTGTAGCAGTCTTGAAAAATTAAAACAAACAGATCAGTGTCCTAATTATCAGGGTTGCCTTTGGGACTCAGTAGATATGTGTTGAACAATGGCCATGTGACTGTGAGCTTGGGAAGAGCCCTAGAAATGTGGGCATGGTCAGTGACCTGATAGAGGTCAAAGGAGAGTGAAAAAGCCAGGACAGAAAGAAAAAGACAAAATTCTGTCTAGGATATTGCTTGAGAGAACCAGCAAGTTTTATAGAATTTTTTTTAATGACTAATTTTCAATTTGTTCTAAGTTGATGTTTTGCATTGCCACGCTGAATGACATTCATTTCGTTGGACATTTGCTCAACTCAGAAATGGTTCCATGTAAATAACATTTCTTCTTCCTCCGTCCGCCTCCACCTCCAATGGAGAGAGATACCATGCCTGTGGACTGATAGACTGTAAAGAGGTCATGACTTTATAGATTAAACTGATAAAGTTTAATCTATAAACAATGCAGATCTAGCTAAATTTTCAGTGGGTTTCCTGTATTTATTTGTTTAATCCTAAACTTGGCAATTTGATTCTAGAAGTTTAATGGAAGAAATGCTAAGAATAGCCAAAATACTCCTGAAAAAGAAAAATAAGGTGGTGGTAGGGAAGGGGTGTGATTTGCCCTCTGAGACATCACAACCTCCTAAATGCATAATATTAGGGTAGCGTGGAGCTGGCCCAAGGCTAGACAAATTAATGAGTAATCAGAATAGAGCTTACTTCAATACCTACAGAAACCTGCAGACCACTGAGTAAGGAATGACTTCAACAGAGGTGGAAAATATTAAATAAATTTCTGCCTCATACTTTTCACAAAAATCAATGCCAAATAAACTAAAGACAAATGTGATAAGCAACTCTATAAAAACTTCTACGAGGCAGTAGAGGAAAGCGTTTTAATGTTCTTCACATAGGAAATGATTTTTACTTCTAAGCCAACCTGTATCCAACTTTATTAAAGATCTTTCCATAAACAGACCATTTATTGTAGGACATGGGCAACAAATGATAATAGCTGGTAACATTTTCAAAGTCCCCTCCTGGGTAAACTACCAAAAAAAAAAGTCATGTAAAACCCTACCAATACCAACGCCACACTGTAAACAGCCAGGAAAGTTGTCCTTTGATGCTTAGAACAGGAAAGGTTTGCAGAGGGGTGGACATTCACATTTTTATGTAGTTTAAGACCTTTTCACAAGCAGCTTTGCGAGACCATCGCCAGAAAATCCGTGTTCCCTGATGTATTATTGCCTGGGTCATGGCTGATTTGGGGGATGTCAGGCCCAAGGTACCTCTTGCTTTAAGCAAAATAAAGTCCCTTACTGGTGGCATCAGGGGAAGAAGAGATTGTAAGATTTTGCTTTCCTTCCTCACAAGGCTTCACCATAGTGGCCTGGCATGGGGAAATGTCACAGAATTCCTCCTGGGCACTAGGAGCTATCCTCAGCCACTGGCCGTGAAACCGTTTAGCGCAGTCCAGCTTCCGAGACACTGGTGTTCTATCGGTGCTTCTCTCTTTCCCAAAAAAGAGCCATGCAGCACTCTGTGTTAAATTAATAAAAAGAAAAGTAAAACAAAAGTCTTCATTTTTATTAAGGTTGAATTTAAAAATCTTAAACTGTAGAGTGACAAGAAGCTCAGAGCACCCCTCCCTGGGCGTCTCCAGGGATGCCACTCTGTGTCTGGACTATGGAACATCTGTTTTCTGCACAGTTGTTTCCGTCTCCATTTGTATCTGCTTTTCTTTCCCTTTTCTCTTTGTGCAGCCTCCCTCCCAGTCTCGCATGGTCCTTTATGCACCTGGGCTGTGGTTATTGGAGAGGCAGGTTTAGAAAATATATCTGCCGATATCTGAACTCAGGTTTGCCTGTGTTTTGTTGACCTCAGAGCCTGCTTTGGCCTTTTCCCTGGGCACAGTGGTTGACAGTGAAGACAGGTGGGCTCTGCCAGTCCAAGGGGTGCCTCCATCTATTTTCTTGTACTGCTCTGGAGAATGATCCCCAAGTTTCACAGCCAGTACTTCTGCCTGCAGGCCACCAGGGATAGCTGGAGCCACAGAACTGGTGTGGCCTGTGGGACTGTGAGTACCAGGGACACACATGAGGCCAGGAGAGCAACTAGCACCATGTGGCCTTTCTTCCCAAATAGTTAGACACCTCTATTGAAAGGAATCACAATATCACATGTAGTTGATGTATGTCCGCAGATGCCCTTTATGGACCCTAAAGCCCCAGCGGTCTCAAATTCTACCCTGAATGGATGATCCAGATTGCCAAGTACAACCTCTAATGGTTGGCCCTGTCTCCTTCAAGGCTCCTCTTTATGTTCCTGCAAGTCCTCCTAATGGCTTTGTTTAGTGGTGCCTTTTGCCAAGATAAAAAACATTTGCTCCTGGAGGAGCCAAATTGCAATCTTGGAGTAACTATGGAGTGTTGACTGCTTAAGGTCCTTGGCATCTACCCATTTGCTACATCTCTGACTTTCTGATGATTGAACAAAACACGCAATCCTAGGAAGATTTCAGAGTCTCCTTTAGTGCCTGTAAGCTCAAACATGAAGGATACCTGTGCACCATTTGTCATCTACTGTAAATGGTTTCTTGGACAAGCCTGGAGGTGTTTAATAATTAACCCACACAAGCTGGGCCCCATGAGCAACACTTTCCTGCTATGATCCATTTAATTAGCTCTTCCTGGACCCAATCAGAAAGTAAAAGTAAATTAAAGCCAGAGATTTTCTACAATTAAAAATAAGGAGAAAAATATGCAATCAGAAGTAGTTAATAATCTTAACATTTTTACCTAAAGACATTCTTAACCACCAAAATTCTTATCAAAGTCCTTCTCAGATTTCACATTAGACCTTTTTAGTTCTTCTGCCAACATTATGACTGTTAGAATTTCCATAGCTCTTTAGCACCAAAGGCCATTTGCTACAAGATAGGTTTTTCCCAGCACACGATTTGTTGTGTTTTCAGATAATTTAAATACAAAACCAAAACAGAAAAGCACCCACACTTCTTATGTGAATTTTTTTGCTTTTGGTCTATCTATAGGTGAATTACTTGGTCCCATTTGAATTACTTTAAGAGTTCTACATACCCTATATCACAGCCAATACTCTGTAGTCAGAGGTTTAGTCAAAAATTTAAGTAGACCCCATTGCTAAGTAATCCTGGAGGAGGAAGGGAGACAGGGAACATATGTAAGGGAAATATTAAACTTTTGATATTTAGTAACAAGTTTGTAAAAGCTGCACCTCTTTGTACCCATGAAGTCAAATTAATTTCTAATCCGTTGGATTGTAAAAATATATTGGTCTCGAGGTGACATGGGTGGGGCCCACTGAGGGTAATAGCAAGGGAGGAGGCACGAAGGTCAACAAGACTGCTGCATTTTTATAAATTTCACTCAGAACCTCAAAATGAGAAAAGAACCAAAACCCTTAACCTTAGTTAGCCTGACATTGGGAACTAGATGGGCAGAGGTGGCAGGGGAATACATCAAAGGTGGGAGCACATGAAAACAAGTCTATGTCTTTTTTCCCCTCCTGCCTGGTTTGTGTAGAAATCTACACCCATATGGTGTGCGATTGTTTTTAAGAAGTTTGCATTCCACAAGCTTACTCGTCAGTGTAAATAAAGAAAGATAACAGTTCTTACCATAAAATTATATATGCACAAAAAAGTCAGTAAATTTGCAGAGAGGTCCAAAATTTCTACAGGCCCAGAGGTAAACCATACTCATTTTATTATATGGAGATTATAAAAAAACTGATGATAAATGACTTTGAAGGTGTTGATCCTTGTCTGGGTTAGTATAATTCGTTTATGATGCAAGTTTCACATTATTTTTCTCTGAGATCTGGAAGCTTTATTCTCTTTTGTGAGATTGTGTAAGAACACACCAAAGTCTGACGGGTGGTGATTTTTCTCAAATTTCAGGAACTGCAAAACATAGCAGCGTCTGAGGGCCAGGTGGTGGTTCTCGAGTGCCGGGTCCGAGGAGCACCCCCTCTGCAGGTCAAGTGGTTCCGACAGGGAAGTGAAATCCAGGACTCCCCAGACTTCCGAATTCTGCAGAAAAGTAAGGAGATGCACCCGTTCTCCCAAATCCAACCAACCATTGTCCTCTCTCTAGCTTCAGCAAAGTCAGCAAGGGTTTAGTCCCCTAGGTGAACTAATTTCCATTTTCATAGAGAGGTGAGATGAGACATGCTGCCGATGTGAGGGGTCCAGTAAATTTAAGCCAGGGTGCTCACTGGTGGACCCCTTTAAGACTCTGATGGAAGTTACATGTTCTTTTTTTAGGGAAAAAATGCATATGTAAATTTGAACTCAAAGTTGGGCAAATAATCTGAAGAGGCTAAGAAGCTCCTATAAGACCTTCTATGAACTGCAGTTTAAATAACTTCCTAGTGTAAGCTGTTACTGGAATTTGAGTTTTCATATTCGTAGAAATACAAATTGACCTATCACTTTATTGCTTTGGTGTTATGATTTGTCTATAACATTTTGGCAGACATGCCCTAGACAAGGTAATAGGAAAAGACAGGTAGCTTTATTATTAATGGAACCCATTCTAATACTGTTTTCATTTACTTTTTTCCTCATGTGGCAAGCAGAACCTCGATCTACAGCTGAACCTGGTAAGAAGCTTTTTTCCCCCCTTTTGGTAATGTATCTTTTGGGTTTCAATAGTTCTTTGTTTCTGTTTCAAAGCCATAAGCAGAACAATGTTTTTGCAGTTCCCTGGAAATGTGAAACCCCCTTAAAGACAATATCTTCTTTATCGTGGGGTCCGTACACTGCGTTTTACATCAACTTCTTTATTAGTAAAACATTAAGTTCCATTCAGACAAGAAGGTCAAGCTCAGTGACTTAAGGCTTTCTAAAATACAGTCTTTTATACTCAGAAAGTAAACGAATCTAATGATGAAAAAACATCCTCCTAAAATTCCCGTAGAAAAGAACAGTCTGCTGCATACTTCTCCTGACCGAAACCCACTAACAGCCAGACTCCCCAGGGTGGAAATGCGTCTCACATGAGAGCAGCCCAAAGACATAAGCAACATTGACCGCCAGGCATTTCTCATTTATGTGTCCTAAGCCATAAAATTTTACTGTTTTACAGGCATGAAGAAAGTCATCTTGACCTAGTATCTCGCTTAATGAGTGGGTCATTTGACCTCATCATAGTGCTATGTTATCCAGAAACATAGGTTCCAACTTTTCTCTGGCCTCAGACTTTTTACGTATTTTTGACTCCTTGTGGACAAAAACGATGTTTGTAAACGGAACTAAAATTTTTATCTGGGTATTTCATAGTCCTCCTTGGGACTACTTTGTTTGGTGTTTTTCCCATCAGCAAAGTCACTGCTTTTACTTCTTGCCAAAGGGGAACAATCAAATTTGTGCCTCTGTTTCAGCATCAAGCACATCCTTCCTACCACCTGTCCCTCAGGAGGCGTGACCTTTATCTGTCCCTTCTTTGAGAACTTGAAGGTTTTGCGTGAGCTACTGCAGCCCAGATTACCGTGGTCAGTCCCGACCCTCTCACATCTGGGCATTGGGTCATTGAAAGCAGGGTGTGATCGTCTCAGAATCCAGAGCTTAAATGATGCTGGGTGGCATCCTTAGGAAACAGCTGGAGTTGATCGGTTGCCTTCTTGTCATAGTTACAACTAGAGCATGCCACCCCACTTAATGTGTCAGTCACCATATCAGATACTGTGTTCACTTTCCAAAGCAAGGAAATAACGCAGTTTTGTGTTTTGTCTGTGTTATGTCTTTGTATAACATGATGCTGGTTCCCTGATACATGGAACTTCCGAGACTCAATCTACTGCATGAGTTAATATGGAAATCCTATAGGAAGTTGGGATATATCTTTTGCATCTACTATTTGAGAGAGAGACAGAGAGAGAGGTGGGGGGGAGAGAGAATGAACTAATGAACTACCTCCCCTTTTATCTGCAAGCAAGTTTATGCAAACAAATCTATGGAGCAGTTTTTGTCTTCTGATGCTTTATGTACAGATGAAACTAAAATCTTGGGCCAAAAATTATAAAAGCATTACTACTGGAACAGATTAAGACCGCTTTTGATGTTGCAGTTTTGGATTCTGAATGAATTCATGCAACTCTCTTTCATCATGTTGTTATCCATTGTCCTCACCTGCAGAGGTGGTGATGATTTATGAAATGTCTCCCATGATCTGTGTTGGAAAATCATAAACTAACCATCATCTGAAAATTCAAACCACTTGTTAGAAACTGCATAGTTTAGTTTTTGAGTAGGTACATGTTTGAATGTTGAAAACACTCAATATACTGGTTAAGAAGGAATCAACTTGAGTGAGGAGGGAGAATAGAAGCATCTCCTACCTCCCCCTCCTCTGTCTTGTTCTCTTTTACCTCCTACCGCATACACTCTGGTTTTAGGTATGGTTTACTGTTTTGCTTCTAGAATATAGTTTTGAACATGAATTACTTAATAAAATTAGTCCTCAGTAGCTTCCTGGGATAATATGACCTCTAGAACTTACTGAGATGCCATTTGGTTTAATGTGGCAAAATCACAAAGAAAGCTATGGAAGACCTTCCTCTTAAACCTCATATCCTGGTAATATATAAAACAGCTTCGCCTCTCCACGTTTATGGAATGTTCTTATTTTTCTTTTCCCTTTTGTTAAATCTGAAAGCATTTAAGAAAACAAAGACTCCTCCATTCCAACCACAATAATAACATTTGTTGGAAGCAAATATTTCTTGGTAGAGAAATATTTCAAGGACATCTGTCAATACAGTAAAAAATAGGCTATAGACGCTATTAAAAATAAAATGCATTAGTTTTCCCTGACCTTAGGTAGTTTGCCACAATTATATTTACCACAACACTCTTAGAATTGCTCCTTTCTCCTTTACAGTGGAGCATGAAAATGCTTCAGGAAACCTGAAACTGGCACGTAGCATTAAATCCATGATCATATTTTTTAAACAAACAAAAAAAATTTAAACACATGAATGACTATTCCAGCAACTCTTTGTGAGTTGTTATGAGTAAGAACTTTAGAACAAGCAAATGTTGAAACATACTTGTATTTAAACAATGTGTTGGTATGCCTGACAAAACTAGGTACAAGTAGCCAAATGTTTTCCTTACATTGACCTTGAGGTTGACCATTGGCATCATCAGGGAAAAACAAAATATACACCGAACTGTTTACTTTCCTTAAATGACCTGATGACTTACATCCAGTAGACCTGAGCTATACAACTATATAAAATATATGCAGGAACTGGCTTCCCTGATGGTTGTTTTTCAGCCACTGTTACGTGGAAAGGAGAAAAGCAGGCATGAGTACAATACATCTGCGGCAAGAGATAAATTTTATAGGACTAGGTCAGTGATGTTTTCCAAATGCTAAAACATAAATAGCCTTTGAAATTCAGGAACATATTTAAGCATTCGGATTTTATTACCCTCTCTTCTCTTCCTCTGACAGATTCACTTCTGCTCTCTCCTCGCTGGCTAGTGTTCAGTCAGTCTCCTCCTTTCTCTCTCTTCTACCCCCTTTCTCCCTCCCTTCCTCCCTCCCTCCCTCCCTTTCTACATTTTCCTCCCTTATTCTTTTTATCTTTTTTCTTCACTTTATTTCCATTTCTTATTCCTGTGTAATATGTTTTAAAGCTCTAGAAATAAAATTGAAATTCACTAGTACCTAGAAAAAGCCCCATAGGGGTTAGATAGTTAGATAAAAAAGGAACTAGCAAATTCCCTCCCAATGCATTTGTGCAACTGAAACAGGTTTTTCTTGTCACTACTGTGTTGTATCTGTCTAATATGTTTTACACTCCCTCCTCTGTCTAGACAGGAGTCAGCTTACATCACAAATCTTTTCAGACTGTTTTGTGAATTAATAGCTAGTCAGCTTACTTAAGACCCACATCCGTTTGTCATATTACCTGCTCTGGGCTTCTTCTTTGACATTCTGACTTTTCAGTGATTGAATCCTTCCAAGACTAGTCTGGGGGGGGGATGGGGTGGGCAGAGAGCACGGAAGACTCATTTGACAGCTATTAATACTCAGGCCCTTACTCAGCTGTCTGAAAGCAGCCACAAACTATATTGAGTTACTTTTAGAGCATTGTCTGATAGCATGCAAAACTGAAAATACAAAAAAAGTGTCTTACTTGTGGAAGAGTTACACATATAAAAATATGGTGTCTCCTACTTTCAGTATGAATCTCTGCTAACCAGCGCTGCCCATCGTCCTAGATCTTGTGTAGTCAAGTCCATGTTTTGATTCTGTGATTCAGAGTGTGAAGTAAATGATACTTTGTTCAGTACACTAAGGTGCTGAGTTGCAGGAGGGCAATGGTGAGGATGTTTGTTGAGATTTCAGTAGATTGTGCATAGTTAAAAATTGAATTCAAGTCCAGGTTAGGGTGGTAGGTTAAACAAAAGTGAGTTGTATAAAAACCGTGCTTCCCAAACTGCATGACAAGGTGCCCTGAGTTGCCACCCTAGGCTGATGGAGGTGCGGTAATGTTTGAAATTTCTCATGTGAACATGTGATACTCAACGTCTGATGGATATACGAGATAACTACTAGTTAGCCGTGGTTCAGAGTTTCAACATTAGATCACTCTGCATTCTTTTCTGTGACATCATATCTTTGTGAAACTGAGTTTTTTATCTGGGTGTGTGGTAAAAAAGTAAGTACCACAGGAAAATCAATGTGGAACATGAAATGAGCCTGGCTGTGTTCATTCTGATTCCAAGAAGGGTTGCACAGTATCCAACGGGTGCTCACATCCATTAGTAAGTAAGTGTCGTTATTTAGGGATAAAATAATAATGGTTTTCTTTCCATTTATGTGCACTTTTTTTCAAACAGTAACTAACTTGTTAAGACCTAAATACTTAAGTTGTTTGGAAATAACTACTTAACAAGCAAAGCTGTTAGGTATAGCTTTTGCTTTGGAGCACCTAAAAAAAAATTACTGAGACACTTAGCATTCCACAAACCAAGAAATTTTGATTTAATCTCTGGAAAGAGATGAGGAAGTGTGTACCAAAGAGAAAATTGGGAGATTTTTAGAATTTTAAATGTTGAATGCTCCTACTTCCCTTCTTTTTTCTGCACACTCGTCTGCAGTGCTGGCTGGCCTACGAATTCTTGGTAGAGCCTGAAGGACTCTTTTTTTCTGGGCAGTCCGGACATCCCAAGAGGGAAAAAAAAAATCTATACTTAATGGTATATAATGGAATGGGAGTTTCTCCAACAAAAAGGCCATCTTGACTATGCTACTGGAAAGGCCAAAGCTCCCCTTCTTGCTCAGAGCTTAAAAGCAGCTCACAAACATCTCAGACCAGAAGAGATGAAAGACATCTGGAAAAACCTTTATTGTGGATAATATAGAAGAAAACAAGCAATTCCACTAAAAAGCAACTTGAAGAAAACAAGCTTGCAAAGTGGAGGAAATGTAAAAACAAACTAATACTCTCCTTAGAGAGACGACAAAACCAGTACATCCAAAAACTAAAAATAAAAGGCCATAAGAAAGGAGGTGGTTTTGGAAAACAGAAAGTTCTTGGAATGAAAAAGTTGGTAGCAGAAATAAAAGTTGAGGAGCTGCCCCACA